CTTTCTTGAAGAAGTCACGTTTTTTTAACTATTCCTTAAACATCGATCCTTTCTTGAAGAAGTCAAGGTTTTTTAATTATTCCTTAAACATCGATCCTTTCTTGAAGAAGTCACGGTTTTTTTAACTATTCCTTAAACATCGATCCTTTCTTGAAGAAGTCACGGTTTTTTTTAACTATTCCTTAAACATCGATCCTTTCTTGAAGAAGTCACGGTTTTTTTTAACTATTCCTTAAACATCCTTAAATATCTCTAAATGTCAGTGAATTAGAAATTTCTTTACTTGAAAAATATGAGCAAAAAAATAATACATAATTTTTATTTTAGATTATTATGAAATTGGCTAAACATGTTTTGTTTTCGACACTGTAATGTTGTGTGGTTGATAGATTGACAGGTAGAACGTTAAACTTATGAAAGAATGCGATTATTCCTCAAAGCAGATACTATATACATATAGATAAACAATACTAATGGATTAATTATGGAAACATGTACGTAATGCACGTGTAAGAGCCACGGGAAGTGAGTAATGACAATTATATGGTGTATTTATTAACGGTAGGACAGCGGTAAATTTACAGACTTACAACGCTAAAATCAGGGGTTCGATTCCCCGCGGTGGATACAACAGATAGCCCAATGTGGCTTTGCTCCAAAGCAAACAAACAATTACTAATCGTATAAAACATTGTTATAGAAAATATATTGGTGAATACACTAGTATTTCGCATATAGGTCCTTTGCCATACAGTTTAACAATGTACGATTGTGGAGTATTGTTCTGCTTAAAGACTGTTCATACCAGTATTTTGTGCAAACTTGGCCATGATTGTGAAGTGTCCCAGCTAGATATCCATTGAGATCACTCAGTGATAATGTGTATATATATATCTTACACTTTGAGGGGTAACATTTACACTTGTGTATTTAAAACATGGCCGCCGTCTACCTCCCGAGATACTTAACATCACTTTTAAAAACGTTAATATTATGACTCTGTTTAAAGACTTGCATACAGTTCCACAGCTCTTTCTGAAATATGGAGTCTTGAAGAAAATTTTCTCATTAAATATCCTTGACCAGTCAAAACTAAATTCGTACTACTACTACTGGACATAGTATAACTGCCTGTACTTTTATAGGCTTAATGCTTGTGTGGCACTTTTTGATTAGTTGGATGACAACCAATCACAGTAGTATTCCTATAGTGCTTGCATTTCATGTCCTCTTTCCTCACTCTTTCCATAATTATTTCCAACACCACATATATATAAATATATTACGCATAAAAAAATCAATATTACAAAAAATGACAGCTTACTTTTAGCCAGTGGTCTTGAGTTTAAGATATAGCGCCAGACTGATATTGTCATGACATAGCGATCAAGTTATGTCATAGACAGCGTAGCACGCCACGTGGACTGCGTAACTTTTGTCTACTTCTAACAGTGCCAACAGTTTCAGTGTTTACAAATGTCTGGCAGCGTATACAACAATATATGACTTCTTTATGTCAATTAGAGTGTTGATTTCCCATAAATCATGCATTACATATTTTAGTTGAAAACGCCATCTGCACGATTACATAGCTATTACTTAAACAACGAAGTATTACGACCAAAATCTATACCTGTTTATTCGGAAAATACCCCCCCCCCTTAAAGTCAGCACATGGATTAGATACGAATTAAGAGCCACATATTGTTCTTCTAATGTTAAGTTTGATCGAAATCAAGATCTCAGGATATTTCCCTAATACGTCGTGTTTTTGCGAACTCTGATAAGTTCTTGACGCGAAACTAAGCACTTCTTAGCTTCACACAGTCAAGACAAAAGTTGTTATTCGCACATCTGTTGAAGCTCTCGCTAGGGTTCTATGTATCGTTTTTTCTCGCACTTCCGATAACCTGTAATATCCTCTTTTTCAAAGTCTCGTAATTCACAACATTTTAACACGCCTCACAAAAACTACGATACTACGGTGAGTTTAAAGATTTGCAACGTTAAAATCCGGGGTTCAATTCCCCGCGGTGGACACAGCAAATAGCCCAATGTGGTTTTGCTATAAAAAAAACAACAACAACAAATTATAGAAATGAAATGTTTCGGTATTTATATGCATATCGAGCTTCTTTGCAAAGCATGCTGGGCAACCCGTGTCAAACGTTCAAGGGACGTCTAGATATTTTAGGCATTGTAATCAGTATTTATTGTATATAAGTATTGTATCACAAAAACATGCACTAGAACCAATATATATATATACGAAGACCAAATTCACAATCACAAAAAAATTCTGATTATAGCATAATCACTCTTTCGTGGACGAAATATCGCATGACGTTCTTTGCAACAAACTACAGCTCTCGTTACAAGTCCTCGTCATTTTGCATAACCCAAGTAAAATACCCAAAGCTTTTGAAATAAAAGTGATTTTTTAGAAAAGAAGACTTTTTTGTACACTCCTACATAACTATGTGTCTAATTTAGAAATGAATAGATTGTATAACATTTAGATATATCCCTAAATGTATCTTATTTAAAAATGAAAACATACTCATAATATATGGATATTTGTCTACATACGTCCTGTGTAGAAATTTTGATGATCTTTTAACGTTTACATTCGTCCCTAATGTGATTTTTCTTGTTTTTTTTGTTTTTTTGCAGAAATTAGAAAGTTTTTAAAGCACTTATATATATATATATCCCTATATGTGTTTTGTTGTGTAGAAAATAGAAAGCTTTTAAAATAATTAAATATATCCGTACATAGGAAATTTTATTTTATTCTAATACGATTTAATGGAACTTTGTAATTAAACGAAAAAGGAAAGAAACCGAAACCTCTCTTGTTTTAGTCCATCCCTTGATTTGGTGACATTATGCGGTTATACTATGTGAGTTCATGAGTCAAGTATGTGTTCTTTTCATACACGTCGAACGTTTTCGAACATGCACAGATGTGTACATAGGTTGTTCCATCCATCTGTATATGACCGTATACAAACACACCACTCAAAACGCATACATAATTTTAACCTATCATGACTCAAAAAAGTCGAAAAATATAACATTCAATCCATCATCCGGCTTAAAGCGGAAGCAGTGTTTACATTTACTGCTGCTTGGCAATATGATCACTAGTGTATAGACTTTATTTCATTCATCGTTTATGTATTTGCCACCAGAAAATGCTTAATTAAAGACGACAGCTTCTTCGGGGAACGAAAAAAAAATCTGTACGAGGAAACGAGAACTGCGTTTATTTGAGGCTGTATGCCGGTTAAAGAGCAAGCTGTACAACAGTTTCCAAGTTTTTTCTTAACTAATCCTAACTATACTTTTGTATTTCTTATTAAGAAACTTTTTGGTTAGGTTTATTCCCCTAGAAACCGGTTTTCGATACTCGTGGTGGGCAGAGAACAGATAGTCCATTGTGTAGCTTTGTGCTTAACTACAAATAAATGAACAGACAAACGTAAAGGAAGTAATTTAAACCCATTCGAAAATGTTAAGTCACATTTCAATATTGTAAAGACGATTGTGGCCTATCGTTAGAGTGCCCGAACTGTTAATCCGAGATTCACGATTCGCGACCCGTTGCCTTAAAAACGTGCCCCGTATTTTGGAACCAATGGTGCGTTATAAGAGTGAAATCAAATCCTACGCTTTGGTCTTATAATAGTAGCCCAAGAATTGATGGTAGGTGCTGTTACCTACATATATTCCTTCGAGTCTATGAGTTCAAAATTAGAGACAACTATTCGTAGATAGCCCTTGTGTAACTTGACGTGAAAATTCTAAAAATCTACATGGAAAACTCAACAATTATACAATACTTTTTGGTAATACAAGTATAACATACCTCGTAATTTTTCACAGAATACCTTACTGAAAGAAGAGGAATGATATCAAAATATTGAAAAATATCAGATACATGAAAAGGAAAGTACAACTGCACTTCAACGGCATCTGTAACTTTATTAGTTTCGTAAAACAAAATCAACCTAGATTACAGATAACTCATGATTTATTGTTTGGTAAATATTTCTATTAATATTCATAAAATAGATTCACTTTAATATTGCCATAGTTAGAATCCTTGCAATTCATCTGTTAAAAAAATCATATTGCAAAATCATATTCACTGAATAGATATGTTGGCAGTGTTTCAATTATCTTTCTTTTTTTTGTCTGTTATTTGGACTCTGAGCCAAGTACTTCTTCAGGTCGTCAAAAACTTAAGTACACACGTTGATAGTGTTTTTAGTGCATTTTCTTTTAAACTCTGGGCCAAGTCCTCCTTCAGGTCGTCAAAAACTAAATACCCACGTTGGCAGTATTTTCATGGACGATACTCTTGTTTGTTACTTTGGACCTTGATCTGAATCTTTCTTCAGGTAATCATAAAACCAAAATGAAAAACACTATTAACACGTCGAATACATCTAAGACCTTCTTGGTACGTTAAATTAGCATACGTTCTTCTTTAAATTGAATATATAGAAATATTCAAAAGGGACATGAAACTAAACAAAAAACGAGAAATCAGAGAGAAAGCGAGAATGACTAATGTGGTCGTATATTCATGTCACACTACGATAGCATAGGCTTTATATTTGGCATAATGAATTGATTGTAATATGCTATTGACACTTTCAAAACATAAGTTTACACATTCTTTGATTGATTTCTACAATTTTGCTTTCTATTTTGTTTCAGGTTTTTTCTCAAAATTTTCCTAAAGTGTAACCAGAACTGCCTGAAAAATGCTGGGAATCCTAGAGACATGAGACGTTTTCAGGTAAGGGCTCGTGTGTTATCATTCATTGTAAATGAATCGAATGGTTTGAGGAGAGTATGTTCTACTATGTGAACGTAACATACCTTATAATTTACGAACTGTGCAGGTTCATGGGCAGCAAGGAGAAACTTTGTGGGTATTGTGTTAATACCACTAATACATTTGCAGTAAAAAATAAATTCTGTATGACTGGTACTGCCATATTGTAAAATTTAAAATACTTAGAGGGATGCTAAGTTACCAAATATAAAGCTACGTAACCATAACCATAAAACATCTTCTGATGGAACAAAATGAGTAACACACAGGAAACACAACTTGAAACAATTACATCGTGTGATGAAACAACTTTAGTCACACATACGAAAAAAACAACTTTAAACATTTGTACAATTAAAAGTATAATTATGAATAACATGTGACGTATCAAGTCCTAATTGTTTGAATCACCACAAAAGAGGCCCCATCAGCTTGTTTACTGCTTAAATGTTCTGTATTCTGACTTCTCATCTTCTCTGGTGTTCCTTTTTTTGATACACTTCTTATCAAAACGTTGAAGAGTTTGACGGAAGAATGATTTGAGCTCTGGGACTATGGCGGGAAAATGTTCTATCTCGGCAATGGGGCGAGTAGTCGTTGAAAGAGAACCCTTGAGGGCTGAGACAAATTCTCCCTCATGTACCATTAGCTCGTAGCGTACCTTTATCACCACACGTAAGGTGTCACCTGGGAGTTGAGAGCGTTTCATCCCTCGCAGCCCATTCATTTTAGCTGCCTAGACGTGCTGTGTGCATAGAAGAGCACAAAAAATGACTGTTTGTGTGCACGCTTGAAGAGTTGTTTGTTTTTTGTGAACAATATCGCAGAAACAAGATTTAAGTGCGTTAACAGTGGGTAGAAATAAGTTTGATTCTTTGTTAACAAAGTGATAGAAACAAGTTTGGTTATTTGTTAATTAAGTGATAGAAACAAGTTTGATTATTTGTTAATTAAGTGATAGAAACAAGTTTGATTCTTTGTTAACAAAGTGATAGAAATAAGTTTGATTCTTTGTTAACAAAGTGATAGAAACAAGTTTGATTATTTGTTAATAATGTGATAGAAACAAGTTTGATTCTTTGTTAACAAAGTGATAGAAACAAGTTTGATTATTTGTTAATAATGTGATAGAAACAAGTTTGATTATTTGCTAATAATGTGATAGAAACAAGTTTGATTCTTTGCTAATAATGTGATAGAAACAAGTTTGATTCTTTGTTAACTGTGGTAGAAACAAAATTCGAGTCGTTGTTAACAATGCAGTGGAAAATATTTGATTTTTTATTTAAATGTGATAGAAATAAGACTTAACTCTTTGTTAACAATGGAGTAGAAACAAGGCTTTTGTTAACAGTAGGAAAGAAACATTTTATTAACAATGTGATAAAAATAACGTTAGATTATTTGTTAACAATGTGATAAAAGACATTTGATAACAGTGGGATATACATATATATATTTGATCCTTGGCTAACAATATGGTAGAAACAATCTTTTATTTATTTTTTAAGGGCGGGAAGAAACAAGACTTTTTATAAATCAAGCCAAACAGTACGTTCATTCTATATCAGTAAAGTATTTACATAAATAAGAAGTGGTCAGAAAGTTATACCCACTTTCCTCCTGTAAAATAAAAAACAACAACATTCCATTCAATATTATCACCAAAGTTCAAATACATCTTAACAATTGTATACTTAAGCCATTAAAAATAATTTACACCGCTAACATACAGGTAGCACTGAAATATAAAACTTACTCCAAATGTTCAGAATACTCTATCAAAATTTATACCAGAGTTTATTTGAAACGTGCAGTATAAGCTAACACGACCCGGCACGCGCTGCTTTGATTTTTCCCTAACGCATATCAACAGCTTTAAGAACGTTTACATGCCTCTAAAGGTTAAGTCAACAACAGTTTAAATATGAAAGAAAACAGTTCGTAGGTCTTATACAAAAAACTCCCTTTTCATAAAACATGCACAACAACAAAAAACACCGAATCACAACCTACCCAAGTACTAACAAATATCTGTAACAAGTCCATTTTTCTGGTATAGTTAGACGCAAACGCGGTTGTCAAGCGTGCAGCAGTGAGAATACCGGAAACGAATCGTGGTGTGATGAGCCTATACATATACAGATGACGGAGAGACATTTTTAGTCTTAGACGAAAAACTTACCCCCCCCCCCCCCC